TGACACTGATCAGAAGCAGGGGTCTCCAGCTCCAGTCCAGAGAGCTTCTGTCCTGCAGCTTTTAGATGCATCCCTGCTCCAACACACCTGAAAAACAAGTATGCATCTAAACGCTGCAGGACAGAAGCTCTCTGGACTGGAGTGGTGGGCGGCTCCGCTGTGTGGGACACCGAGGAGCAGCTGGCAGTGAGCGGGGAGATAATAATGAACATGCCGCCTCAGATTTATGTGGACTGTAGTTTATAGTATTTGTGGTTAGTCCTCCACCTTTCTGGAAGTCATCACACGTCCTCTGCTGCTTAAAGGAAAAAGAGCCACTGTCCTCCCTTCACACAGTGCCACCACATTCATAGGTGACAGGTTTTAACCCGAGTTTGCTGAAGTCTAAATGGACAACGCACAGAATAAACATCATCCTCTGAGCCTGCTGCAGCGTCTCAGATCTGATAGTTGTGCACGCTGCTCGAGGTCTCTTACTGTGTGTCGTGACATTAGCCTCGATGTAAATGGTTTGAACAGCACAACTAAGAATTATTGCAAACATGAAAACGGAGACGCTCGACATAATGTTCTGGCAGAGACGCAGCCAAGCAGCACAAACCATCAAAAACACGTTTTACTCATCGTGCAGTCGTTACAAGGAGCGTGTGGCAGTTTCTAACTGAGGACATCTTCAAGTCTCACTGGAAATCAGCCACAGAGAGGGGCGCTACATCCTTCTCATGGGATTAATACAGCCCTAGATCAGGGTCGCCCTGCTATTCAGCAGGAAGCCACCCCTGTTACACCTGTGAACATCCAGGCTTTGGACACTGAAACGGTGGAGGAGCACAAATACCTGGGTGTTCACTTCAATGATAAACTGGACTTTACAAAAAGTGCTGTGGTCTGCTGGAGCGGCAGAGAGGGACGGGGGAAACTCAACAAACTGGTCAGGAGGGCCAGCTCTGTCCAGGACTGCCTGCTGAAGTCCATCGAGCAGGTTGAGTGGGAGAGGCTGTTGTCTAAGCTAACATCCATCATGGACATCACCTCCCCCCCTGCATGAGACTGAACACCGAGCAGCTTGATCAGCTGTGGACTTTCACACCCACAGTGCAGGAAGCAGCGCTGCCACAGGTCGTTCTTACAGCAGCTGTCAGACTCTGTAACACAGTTTGACACAGTTATCTTACTCACCAGCTGTTTGTTCACTGTACATTTTATACATTTTATTCATGTTTCTGCACATCGTTACCTGTTTGCACAGACTTCAGTTGCTTATGTCTATAGGACCACTTTGAGTCTTCCTTTTATATTTTATATTCCCTTTGCTACAAGAGCTCTGCAACACCCAAACTTCTCATCCATGGGATAATAAAGGTCTATTTTATTCTATTCTATTCTATCCAGGAAGTCTGCTTTGAAAAACTAACAAAACACCAGGAACAGAGGGAGCTGAATTATTCTGTATGACAAACTGTTCCTGTGTCTAAGTTTGTTCTACCTGTGGAAGAAAAGGAAACAAAGAGTGAGCCGATCCTCCAGCTCAGAGGAGACACAAGTAGGAGAACTATCTCTAAATCATTTACAGACAAAACTGGCTTTTTTTGGCTCCTTTCCCAGCATTACTGATCATTGGTTCAACGCTCTATGTACTATTCATATGGGCTTTATGGCAAAAAGTAAAGTAAAGTAAATAACACAGGTTGTGTTGTGTGTTTCTTAAGAAAGCTGAGTTATTATTTTAAACCAGCATTGGGACAGTCGGATGTTATAAATGTGTTTAAATAACTAACGACACCAAATCTGCCCTTCTACACAACGCTGTTTCTGTCCACAGGTCGGGTGAAATTTCAGCGTGTCACACAGTATGGTGGCCTTTTTAAACTGTGGAGCTAATTACTGTAAGCCCAGTAGCACAAACAAGTTATATTTAGGCAGCCTGCAGACTGCGAGTCCTCAGGAGATACAGTTACTTCTGCAGGACATATTACAGCAACATGTGGTCAACCGTGCTGGGCCGAGCGGGTAACCCACCTCTGCATTTATTAGCACAGAACCTGCTGCAGTCTAAAGCCTGTCTCCATAGCAGCAGCAGACATGGAAACATTGTAACATCTTTCTCTGAGAAGTTAAAAGGTTGACTCTGTTCATCTGGACAGTCGGACTGCAGGTTTCCAACCTTCTCAACAGGAACTCAGCTCAGCTTATGATCATTAGTACGCAAACTGTCACAGCCGCTGATCATTGCATGAGTCCCGTCCACAGAGAGGTGGGGAATCCCTCCAATCACAGCATTGTAGAGCTGTGATTGGAGGGATTTCTTCTCGGTTATTGTGGCACCATTCCTGAGGCCCCGCCTCCATTCAGAGGTGTAAATGGCCTCCTTGACTCTCCCTCTACACTATAGCACACTACATGA